GTTTTCATGAACTTTTTTCTGCACTTTTTAAAACAACACAAGTTTTTAAAAAGTATAATAAAAATTATAATAGTATAATAACATTATTAATGAAAGTTACCAATACTTTTGTGCTTCAGACCATTTTATCTAGTTTATTTTAAAACAGCGCCGCTAACGTCTCGTAACTTACTGGGGGACTTAGCTTTTTAAGACTTCGATTTGTTTTTTAATATAAACATTTCATGTTTTGTCCATTATAAAGTATTTGTGCTCGTTAGTTTAGTTTTATCATTAATTACCATGATGGGAAAGTACGTAGAGCGAAAAGCTAGGCCTCTGAAAGTCCCCCAGTAGTAGTTGCCAGGTTATCGGATATTTTTAATTATAATTTTGCGAAAATGGACTATATGAAAATAATGCTCATTATGAGACTTAGTCCTATTGTTTCGTTTGCTAAAGTGTCAACCTAATCAAGTTATGTCAATGACTATCAAATGTTCTGTTAGCAGAATGGTTAAAATTGATAACTATTCTGACCAAGAATATTGGTTTAAAACCAATATGAAATATCATATAAAATAATAGAAACGTTTATAAAACTAATAATTGATATTATTTTTCAATACTATAGACAATGTTTTCATGCGAGGACAGAAATGTTTCAACCATGAAACCAGCCAGTGTTGGTTACAATGCTTCAACTTACCTTCTGACGGTTATTGGAATTTTTGCAAATTTGACGGTGGTCATTGTGTTTATCAACTGCAAGATTTATCGCAGGTCATTTACGTATCTCCTAGTGTTTCAACAATCTATTTTCGACATGATAGCATGTTTCCTCTATCCATGTTTTCACATTCTTTTTTCCTCTAATGGGAATTTTGCCAACTACTGCAAGTTTGGAACACTTTTCTTCTTTTGTTTATCTGCCTCAACGCTAAACCTAGTCTTCATTTCTGTTGAGAGGTACATCGCAGTGGTGCATCCGTTGAAGTACTGGATAAGAGGTAACCAGATGCGAAGCAATTTACCACAGTTATGTATTCCACTTGTAGCTGCATTTCTAATAACATTTCAGTATGCGTTCATACTTGAAGAAGATCAGGAAGAACCCGGAAAATGTACCTTTTGTTACAAAAACAAAGGCTTTGAGATATTGTCAGGTACAATTTTATTGCTGGCAAATGGGATAATTCCAATTTCCACTATGACATTTTGCTACTATCGTGTATATATCACACTCAAGAAACAAAACAAAATTCAAGCAGAATTAACAAATCAAGGGCATATAAATAATGCTAGCAGGGCAATAAATTATCACAATAATGATGAATTAGCTGTTGAGATAAATATTTCGCCATCGCAAACAAATCAGAAAGAAAAAGCAAAGAATCAACGAAATTTCATCATCACTATGTCTATTAACACACTGGTCTTTACAATCTGTCTTACTCCAGTGATTGGGGTATATCTTGTTTACACAATATGCAAATGTTTTGATATTAATTATCATATTTCGAGTGATATTGCTACATTCTTTGTTGTTTTCAGCATGGTAGCGAACCCGTTTATTTATGCCTACAAACTCTTTGATTTTAAAGAGGGCTTCTCAAAAACATTCTGTCGTCAATGTTAGAGACCATAATATTATCATATTAATGTTGTAGGGGTTTAATCATGACAGAGGTTGAAATATCAATTTAACTTTTCAGAAAATTACAGAATTAAAGATTTTTTATGAGTATTTAATCAATTATGGTTTTAGTATACCAAATAAAAAATGTGAAACAAACACAAAGTATTCCAATATTACAAATGTAGCTAAGTATTTAGAAACTAAGGATGTAGCCAAGTATTCAGAAATTTAAAAAAAATATTCAGAAATTAAAGTTGTAGCTATTATTTAGAAATTACAGATGTAGCTAAGTATTCCAAAATTAAAGATGTAGCTAAGTATTCAGAAATTAAAGATTTCGTTAAGTATTCCAAAATTACTGATGTAGCTAAGTATTCCAAAATTACTGATGTAGCTAAGTATTCAGAAACTAAATATGTAGCCAAGTATTCAGAAATTACAGATGTGCCTATGTTTTCAGAAATTAAACAAAATATTCAGAAATTAAAGTTGTAAATGTAGAATTTAAACATGTAGAAGTATTCAAAAATTAAAGATGTAGTTAAAGTATTCCAAAATTAAGGATATAGCTAAGTATTCGCAAACTGAATATATATTACTGTGTTGAGCTAAAGAAATTTCAATATTTACATTTCTTAATTCATGTACAGTACTCAATCTGTAAGAAAATATAGTACCAGGTATTGAGGAAAAAACAAAACATTCAAAAATTATTGGGAATCATAAGGAAATCCGGTGCTTTTAACAGTAATATGCAACGAACTCCAAAAATTATTACCGGTAATAATATTAGAAATGCTAATTGGGATGGTGATGATGATCTGAATTTTAAATACGATATAGATATTGACAATCTTAAATATGCACTAAGGCTGGCAATTAATGGAAATCACCAGGTGAAGATACTGTAGTACTACCAATGAACTGTTAACAAATGGCGTTTCTACTATCCTACGTTCTATTTTGAATTTGTTTAAAAGAATGATTACCTATGAAAAACCACCAAAGGGTTGGAACCTAAGTATCATTCCTATCTTTCAGACAAGTGATAATTTCCTTTCTGTTATATCACTCTGTATTTTTAAATGACATAACACTGATGGAAAGTTAAGTGCCACCGATGTAAATGGAGAATGTAATAAAGTAAAGTATTTTAGTGTTATTACCTAATATATTGCTTTTGTTTCACCTAAATTCATAAACAGTGCATCTACTATACTAAAGAAGTGAATACCATCTTAAAAAGAAACTCATGGGCTTCCTTTCAAGATGGGCTTCTTTTTGAGAATACTTTTTTTACTAAAGAGGGGGGGGGGGTTTCATTTCAAAATGCCCACAGGACTTCTATTCGAGATGATCTGCTTTTGTTTTAGACCTATGCCAAACAGCACTGTAACTGGAATATTGTGGTAAGGTCTGAGAAATAATACAAATTACCAAATACTGCAGTTACAAAAATTACTTCTTGGTGCTTTAATGTGCACAAAAGCCAGAGAGTAAACTGCACCTCTGTTTTTAAGCCTTTGTCTGGGAAGAAGTGGTTCATGTTCATACCAAACAAAACTTGAGTAAGGATTCAAAACCAGTGGTTATTGCACCAGCTGTTGTAATAAAAAATTCTACCAACAGAAACAACCCTCGGAGAAGCTTTATTA